TTTATAATTTAAGGAAGGGGGGGTCGGAATTAATATGATATCAATAAGGATGACGTTACTCTTAAACGTATAATATAATTAAAAATTCGGTTAAGTTGGCGTTTATGTTCATCGATCAATTTTTTAACCTACCCCATTTTTATACTCTTCACTTAATATCAAAATAAACAATGCATGCTGTTCTAATAGCCCTCGATAATAATATTTCCTTTGTCGCTGTGTTTCCCTTAAAAATTTTCACTCCATTCAGAATTTTTAATTAAAAAAACACCCGCATTTATCATTACGTCATTTCTAGGCCTAACAATCACAAAATTAATATCATTAAATCTCCCTTTTCCGACTTTTTTTTTAAATTTTTCAAACAATTGTTCGATGGAAATATTTTGATTCGCGATGACAGCGTCCATATCTAACCAGAAAACCCAATCATAGTGAGGTAAAACCTTCTCAATAACATCAATCTTTCTCCAGACTTTTTCTCGTTCTTTATATATTTGTTGATAGTATTCTTCAGAGCGTGGTACAAATGAGTATCCATGCTTTTTGGCATATCTACGTTTATTATCTGTCACATTATATGCTATGGGATACATGCACATGTCATTATATATGAAACTACTTGTTACAATTGCTATTGATAATTTTCCATTTTCACGTATAATAGAATGACATATTTTATATTGGGTAATTGATAAGTGTGCTATTAAATCTTTTACATCACTTCCTAGGTATACGTGACCAACTCCTATTGTTTTTTCTGTTGGAACATATTTGACAGAATTTGGCCATTCTATTATTTCTATTTGATCATTAATGAAAAATAAATTGTTTTCATTCGTAGGATTTTCGTCTTTGAAATAATAATAAGCCAACGATATGTGATTAGGGAATGTTTCTATTAGAGTTTGGTTTTTAATATTGACATTGTAAAATAGTCAAATTCTATTAAGTTATTTATGGATCCCTGACCAAGAATTATTAGCATGTCGTCAGCTGTTTGAATATCAAAGTGACCCCAAACTAAATTAAATTTCTGTTTAGGTGTCAAGGTATTATCATTAATTACGAATGAATCTAGGGATGGCCACGGTCGGTCATTTTCGGCTAGCCGTTTTGTAGCCGTTAGCTATATCTTTCGATCCAGTACTCCAAATTGGAAGATTTTAGTACCATTCGAATCGTCTCATTGAGACGATTCGAATGGTATTAAAATCATCCGATTTGGATCACTGGATCATGAGATAGCCGCGGCTTAGCCGGTCGGCTAAACCGAAAATGACCGACCGTTACCATCCCTAAATGAATCTAGAGTTTTCTGGAGTTCTTTAAGGTTTATCACAGTGTGTTCATCGATAATTACTACATAATCATATGTAATTTTTTTTAATTCAAGCGATTTGATCTATTAACAGAGTGTAAAATTCTTAGTATTTAGTTTTAAGTGGAAAAGAATTTATGTGAATTCAAATTTCTTATTTATATTGGATATATGTACATTTACCCTAAAATATTGTTTAAGAATTTCGAATTCACTTAAATTATATTCTCAAAAGATTTAATTACTTACCCAAGTAAGTACCGTTTTCTGCCAATTATTCTCGGATATATTAGAAAACTCTTCGATATCATCAAATTCTATACTTTCCGCTTTAAAATCTTTCAATAACCTATTGCTATAATTAATTTCCTGATAAGGTTTTACCAAAAATTTGTAATATATGCTTTCATTAAATTCTGTGCATGGTCTTAAATTATCTTTAATACCAAACATGAATTCTCTCATCAATTTTCTTGCTCTGATTTCGTTAATCTGAGATATTATTACTACTGTCAAAACGTATACGTTGTGGGCTATGGGATATGACGGTCAAAATGTATACGTTGTCGGCTATGTGACGGTTTGGCTGAGGGAAATCGAAACGTATACGCGATACCATACTCTTTAGATAGTAAACGTATACGCGATAGTAGTAAAACGTATACGTTATAGGACGTCGGGAATAAAGAAAATAGCGAGATTAGTTCTTATAGGAACATAATTGTATAAATATAGATCTTCTTAGCCTTCCTAAACATTAGTTATCGATTGTAATAAACAAAATCTTATTAAATAAATTATATTGTTCACATTTAAACGTCTTTAACTTTCCAAATCTTAAATTACCT